TTTGTTCAGCTGAGATCTAATAAATCACAAAGCTCTTCTTAAACTATCCAATGATTCTGGAATATCTCCTGCACAGTGACACAAACCTCTCTCTTCTTCTCCCTGTTTATTCAACACATAAGACCCACAGAAAACCCTAAAACGCAGTCCTAAATCTCCTCACGGTTCGGCTGATCCTCGACGGTGATTTCGCTCCCCGTTAAGAGCGGCTATGCGAATGCAGCTCTGCGTCGTTAGCTTCAATTGATTTTATTGTCAATAAAATCAATGTTTAGGCTCGCCGGAAAGGGTTTTGCGGCGGTAAAAAAGGGGGTGCGAGGTACGGCACAAAGCTGTCGCTCACGGAGGCAACGCGGCGCGTGGATTATTCGCTTTCCTGTCAGTAGACATTGCGCAATTGAAATCTACGTCGGTGGTCACACGCGGGCACAAGCGTTTGCGGCGGAAAGGGGTCGGATCCGACGGAGGTAAACCGAAAGGGTTTCGAACGTGCCCGAAACCTACCCGCCGATTTCGAGCGTCCGCCAAACCGTGCGTATCCCACCCCTTTATGGACTCTTCGAATTAATCGTGTCGCGAGTTTACTTTTGCTTTCAAATTCAATCTTACGTTCCGCTGCTCACTGTGCGGCGGCTCATCGAGTTAACGAGAAATCCCGTATTCGTTTTCAAATCGTGCGATGCAATTTTAATCACAACCAAGACTCGTGTACCATTTGACATACGAATACTCGATTTTATTTTTACAGAAATTTTATTCAAAATTTACTCACTACAAAAATTAGGTCAGTTGAAAAGTTACAGCAGGTAATATTTTTCAATATTTTACTTTCAAAAGTTCAATATCGAATATTATAGTACGATTTCTCTCTGGTTATATTTCTGTCGCTGCGCTAAACGTTATCTCAAGGGGATACGGATTTCACCGGAAATTTCAATAGTTTATATGGAAAGATAGGCGATCTTCAGCAGTTGTGAACGTTTCTTGCATGACGGGAAAGCATCTGACACAGAGATTAGGCCAAGCGCGCGCGAAATTGTCTCGCAACGATATGCAAATCGTGGCATAAATGCTAATTGTAATTGCCCATGAAATGAATTCAAGGGCTCCCTCCTGGCGAAGGGTTCGCTTCGTAGCTTAGTAGCGATCTTTGCCCTCCGAGTCTGCCGAGTATCGAGCGACAAGGCTACGTGTGTTATTTTTAAAAATTTTCATCAAGTTTGCAACCGGTTAATAATGTTATTCATTTGTTTCATGGTAAACAAAGAAAATTATTACAAGCGATACATTCTTAGCACAAAAAAATAACCCTGCTAAAAAGTTATCTGAAAACACTAGTCGCATACAAATCTCATTAACCACTTTTTATTCACCCTGCACTCTCAACGTGAACATCCGAAAAGGGCAATTGCCAAAGAGAAAGCTAAAACAGTTGCTAATTGGGGGGGACTCGGTTTTACAGTAAACGAAACAAAATGATATGATTAGGACGTTAATTCGCTTTCCGGTACACATTGCTAACGAGAATAGGACGCGGTGGAGTCAGACAGTTTCGAACAAAATCCAATAATACTTTTAACAGAGCTCTCAAATAACTTCTTCTGATAAAAATCGTGTAGCGAAACCGTAAGCTTTGATGTCAATTCAATCATCCCGATATTGCAAGGCACGTCCCTCGATACCGCTATACGTGATAAACTTTCCATCTTACTACCGCGATACGCGAATTTAACTTGCGAAATTGCGCGGGGATTAAGATCTCGCCTCTAGATCTGAGCACGTACTTACCGTCGGACGAGCCAGAATTATGCTGGTGACAGTCTGTAAATGATCTAGTTTACGACGCGAGAAAGTGAGGGATATAGTGAGGCGTATCCCAAAGTAAAGCGGAAAGGGAAACGGCGCGGCGGTGGGAAGAGAAAGAGACAGAGAGAAAGACGGAGAGAGAGAGAGAGAACAAAGAGAATGGAGGATGAGATCAAAGACAAGGACAGAAGGGTCTGTGGTTAAGTATTCATCTTCATAGCGATTATATTTTCGAGTCGTTTACATACGTGAAGTAGGGAAACTGGTAGAAATCGGATACGCTCGAGTCTACTTAATCGTTATAAACGCGTATTTATTGTATTTAGCTGGACAATGAAGCCAGACCCCCCCTCAGGGGCTCACGTATGTGTGAGTACGGGATTGGCAACCCCGAGGTACCCTAGCCACTCAAGACCTGAGAATAGTCAGACCACACTCTGATCTTCTGGGGATACGAAAGTGGAGACCGTGCATATCACGCTTATTTATATCACATATTTAAATTGCATAAATAAAAAAATATAGAAGATTATAAATATTATTACAAAGTTAAAACTCAAGCATGCAGATCATTCGAGCGAATATAAAAAGGTCAGACGGGATTACGTTAAAAGTCTGTGGCTGTAATTCAGCGCTCTACGCACGGGTATAAATTTCCGCTAACAAATATATATATACGTCGGCAGCTTTTGAACAGCGTTTGATGAACACCAGGCCCGCCTTCTCCCGCTCGGACGACGGACAAACCGACGGACGGATTGACATTTGCATACGATGGACCCGCACGGGCGTTAACTGCTCGGGGACGCGGAATGAGCTACAAGTCACCTGGTACCAGTAATTGAAATGAGGGTAACTTTGAAGAGGGGTCGCGCGAACAAACGAGGAGCTTGAAAAGTTCTTTCAACGACATATCGTAGATTCACGTAATATTGAACGGGATTAAAATTATGGTAGGTTTCTTTACAGAAAAAAGATTTAATTAATATCGATAGAACAATTGAAAGAAGGTAGAATATACGATTGTTCCAGAATTGTCATTATCATTACTGAATTGAATAATTATAGAACAATCAATGTAGTAATTCATTGATCTATATTTCTCTTGTAATACGGTTGTAATGTAATTACTTTAAAACACTTGAAAATTTATAATCTTATTTGACAAAAAGCTTTCTTGCTTTTAGTTCACCGTAAATTGTTAACAATATAACGTGCCGTATTTGATTTAATTCACGGCAAAGTGCGTGCTCCACAGAAAGACAAGAAAAAATCTGTTGGGTGGGCTCTGGCTGTGAAACACGGTTAATAAGTGGAACGGCGCTGGAAAATGCGGTAGTGAGCAGGCACACAAGCTGAAATACCCCTCGAAACTTTACGGACTATGAAAGCGAAATGAGAATGGGCGGGCGATACCGCGGGTGGTTCGGCGCAGCAGGGATGGGAAGTTTAATTAAATATCACACGACATATTATGGGAGGCGGGAGGTGCCGCGCATGGTGTCGATGGCAAGTAACGTCGGGGACAGCCCGCGAGACCGAAAAGTTCGTGCCAACGAGTGAACGAGGAGCGAGCTCGTAGTAACGGACAACGACGGGGACGGTACCGGAAGTTAACGGAGGGCGGCGAACCGTCCAGACATTTCAGCGTCATCGGTACCCTTTTATAAAAGCCGCCAGTCTGAAAATTCCATTCGGTCTACCCTCGCGCGCGCGCATTTCCCTTATATTCACCCCTATCGACGCGACTGCTGATTCAATTCTCACGAAAGGAACGGCATTCCTCGAATGGCAAGGACGACAATTTATTTTTAATCTTATAATGTCTCCGTCGAAAGCCTGCGGAGATTTCATCGCGAGATGGCGAAAGAAACGTTACGAAGCAAATATTCAATGTACCAATAACAAAGAAAGCTAACAAAAGTAAATTGCTCCTCTCGTTTGATAATGGCGAAGAAACAAAACAGCACGTGTGTAATACATTTAGTGATATTATCATGTCGCTAGGGAAAACACAAGTCAAGAGGTCATATGTCTTCCCCTGTTCCTACCAAAGAACGCAAATCTTTGCACAGGCCTCGCGTTGATCCTTGCCACATTAACAATGACTTGCGAATTAAAAGCCCATGAATATGGTAAGGATGCAAATTCCGTCGGTGTTTACTCGGGATCAGTGTTACACGGCAATCTGCATACTCGAGTGTCGGGATGCCCGGTGACGCGCGACGAGGGTTGCGAATCAGGTTCGTATCGTCTACACGTGGGACAATCGTGCGGAGTTAATAACGACCCACAGCATTCCTTCGTGAGGATAACGCGGCAGGAATTTAATCCGCAAGCTCTCTCGCTAACGTTTAGAAGTTTCCTAGCCGCTATTTAAGGTCGCGTGAAGATACGAGAGTTTCTAATTCGTGTGGAATCTCTCTACCGCCTGGTAGTTTTGCAATCTCGCCGAATCGGTGGGTATCATCCACCGCGAAAAAGAGACGATCCCCTATTTCGCCCGACCCCGTCGATTAATCCGTTAGCCGCTCTCGCGACCAACCTGTGCGTACCGTTCAATTATCGAGGGGCTCTTCTCCCTCTCTTACCCGACACGCTAACTGAGTTGTTACCTCGATAATTCGTACGTCGTAGTATCGGCCGTAACACCGGCGGCTCGCCACATTAATTTGCGGCCTGGCATGAGAATTTCCGCTTAACTGCGTTATCCCGGAACTTATCGTACACTATCAGTGATCAATCAATGTAGAATCCAAACATTTCGCCAATATTCAGCGCTACGGCTCATGCTTCGAATATCATTAATTTTACCATAATTATTTTATTAGTATATTTAGTATCATATTTAATTACATAATTATATAATAATATAATTAAGAGCGTTTAATATTATATTTAATATTATATACAATAATGTGGTTAAAAGTACTTAGCATTACATTTAATTATATTGTTGATCGTTGATACAAAATTGAAATATATAATTATATACTTCGAATTTTTCCTCTTTATTAAACCATAAATAGGATAAACTTCATGTTAAATATTTCTCTTTGTTTCTCAAAATAGGCGGATGCTACTTTTATGTCTATTCACTGTACAACAACTTTACATATTCAGTTAGAATTAAATCCTTGCATTATCTCGACCATAATGTCCACAATGCCGGCTTAAAGAAAAGACTTACATACCTGTGTATGGTCGACAATAATTGCGATTTGCTCTGCTGTAAACTGTTGGCAAAGACGTCTCCGCTCCCGGCTCTACGTACGCTTTACTCTTGCTGTCTCTAGGGTCGCTGTATTGTTCCACAACCTCGATTTCCGCCTGCAAACAGAACACAAATTGTTTCCTTCCGTTTTCACACAAAAGAGAATCCGTATGTACATCTTCGCGTCTGAAATAGCGATCGATCTGGCGCTTCCATTAAAGAATATAGTTCTCGAATAACAAACTCGCGATAAAACGATTTGCTCGTAACGACACAAGATAGACGACATATAAAACAAATTGGCCTGGATTGTTGTAATAATACTAGTTTAACGACGTGCGTTCTTTCCGGCGTTCTCGCGTGCACAGTAATGCTCGAATTTGTCCCAGGAGAGAATATCTTTGAGAGGGATTATCAGAGACAGCTTCGCTTAAATTTACACGGTAGCTCGGTGTCATTTTCTGGTCCTGAATGCAGCCAATTGCGGTAATACCTTGGCCGAGGCTCGAGGAAACACGCTTCCAACCGTTCCCCTAAATGATGATCGTTATTTCGAGAGAAAACAACTGCGGCGACAATTCGTTTCCGCCGGCCCGGTGGATTAAACGTAGCGCTCAAATAATCAACCAGAATGACGACGAACATTAATATCCCGTATAAAGATTACCTAAGCCTGAAGGCGTGATATTTCTTAGTACAATCAAACGCGAATTGCACGTCACATTCGTTTTAACAATCTTAACCCGAAGGAACGGGAAGAAGTAAATTCCCCTCGACTGAATTCAATCAACCATGAGCAAGTAAGGGTTTCTTGCATTGGCTGCGGAAGCCCTTCAGTCCTACGACGATTATGCGATCAGTGCTTCACTGATATTAATGATAATAATGATAATAAAAATTCGACAATCTTTAGATAATAAACGACAGGAAATAAAGATCTTCACCACTGGGTAAAAAGAAGAATCAATCGATAAAAGCTTTCCTCTCTTTCTCTCTCTCTCATTCTCGGTTTTAACGTTATATCGACAATTGGGAAAGTAGAATAAAAAAAGAAACGAGACAGTGCAAGAGAAAGCTCAGCAGGGCGAGACGAGCAGACATCCGGGCAATGCAAGACAGACGAAGGCGACGGCGGAGAAGACAAGTAGCCTTAAATTGAAAGAGCCCAAAATTGGAATTCTCCTGCCAAAGTGGAGCGCTATGCCTCCAGGGGCTGTTTCGAAGACGAAGTCGATTGCTTCCAGTCATCTTACCTACCAGCCCCGTTCCCTCTCTCGTCGCGCCAGCTCTCCTCTGTAGAACGGATAAATTTGTAGATGTTTATACGGAAATTACGAAGGGATGACTCCGCAAGCACAGTGGAGGCCGCTCGATCGGCTGTCGCAAATCCGATGACGAACGGGGGCTGACTCGACTTTCCGCGAAACCGAGAACCGCGTCGGCCGAATCCCGCGTCGCGCGGGTGGTTGCGAAAATGATTACGCGGGGTTATCGGCGTGCGCAACGTTATCGAGAAATCGAATTGCCGTTCGATTCGGCGAGTGAAAACGCGCGAATCTAGCAATGCCTCGTTAAGCGGACAGAGGTAAATCTGTAAAGCTGTCGCGCGCGGCATTTGCAGCGGAAAAGCAAAGGCAAATAATAAACAAACAGGGCGTCCCAAGTTTTGCCGTCCGGACTTCTCTCTGTGTGTGAACTGTTTGACCACCACTTTGAGGATTGTGTCGAATGCAGTGCCGTCGAACGCAATGCAAATAGTACTCATCACACCCTATCATATTCAGTCGTTAATACCGTTCGATTTATTGAGGGCTTTAATCCGATTATTTGGTCACTGCGTCATAATTTGGCGTAATTATCTGCTAATCTAATCGCCTGACTTTATCGTATTTACGAGTTTAGACGATGGAACGAAAATTTTTTTATCACATTGTTGAATTCCATTAATAATGCATTTTGGAGAAGGATACTAGGATCATACAGAATAAATCAGTAGTTTAGTTTTTAAATATAGAATTTAATCGCTGTAAATACAAAAAATGAAACTCGCTACGAATAACTCGCCGAAAAATTTTACCGAGAAATAAATATTAATGTTGCAGCGTTGCAAAGAGTCGAGCTATATTAATGGCGAACAGTGATACGGTTCATAACATAAATAACGCTGTTACACAGAATGGCACTCTCGAGGAAACGTCACGTCGGCGACGTCGATCGCTCTTAATTTCGTGTGGAGCGAGCCAGTATTTCCACAATATCCGCGTATAATACAAGACATTATTAACAATATGCAGATAATGGCGTTATAGGTGAAGCGGGGCCGCAAGAAAAATGAGCGATGTAAGATAAGACGCACGTAAAAGCGCTTTTTAGCGGTGCGAGTATCAATCACTCTCGTTCTCGGACGAGGGACATCTCACAAAGGGCCTGACATCAAGCACTTTCCTCACGGAGTCAATTTTTTCCCGGAATTCTCGCAGAAGGACGCGTCCCTTTTCGAACTGGTCGGGAATTAATTACGCTCACTTTTCGACGTAATTTTCCTCGCTGTGAGTTAATCGCTCCTGTGAATTCGACTTGGTAAATGGCAGCCAGTTCCCTCAGGCATTCTGCCGATGTATACGCTCATCGCTCTGCATTTATCGAATGAACAAATAGATTAGGTCTTTTGTTCGCCTCTTATGATTGAAACGTAACAAAGAGAATTGAGAATCAAAATTTTGCGAATTGGCGAATAAAATACAAAAGTCGCAACTGTGTAACAACTCTCGAAAAAGACACGTTTACTAAAGTTCTACGCTCCAAAAGCCCTTTGTTATAGTGATAAATGCGAGCAGCACCAGTGCTCGATCTCATGCATAAAATAAAGCGCTAAGTATTAAGTAGGGCTTACGAGCACGACTCATAACGATTCACCCTCTCGAGAGTCAAGTGGCACCCGCTTTCTGTCTTTGTCACACTCCCCTTTCGCTTCGTTGCGATGCTCGCGGGGGTTGTCGGTGACAACGAAGCGAAGGAAACTTTTGTTCGGCGCACTCAGGTGTCGTCCCTTTTCTACGACGTTTCTTTCTCTTTCTTTTATGAACTCCCTTGCGACGCGACGGTCGTGCGGCGCGATCCCATTTATTTGTATATAGTAATCAGACACCGAGTTGATGGTAGCGAATTAAATTTTTTCGAATTAACATTTCAAATATGGTTGTAAATAAACATTTTTTAATTTAATAATATGTGTAGTAATGTATAAAATAAATGCATAAAACCAGGTGCGAAGATATTAGTATAAAACACAGTATTTTTATAAAAACTTTGATCTTTAAAAAATCCAAGTTATCTTTGCTGACTTGAAAATATTGTCAAACAACCAATTCGTAGATACGTGAATATATATATATCAGTCATGGTGTACTAAATAATCAAGAAGACTAATTATACAATTGCTGAAAGTATCTACTTCATCGGTCACTCCATTTCTTCGCGAGAAAACCCCAAAACATGTTATTTCGAGCGTACTTTTAAAATAACGGCAGAACGCACGAAGGCGAAACTATATTCCCCACTGCCAAAGCGTTTAAGCTTAAAGCGAAGAGCTCGAGGCAACCCCAAGCGCCAGAAACTGAGTGGCGGAGCAATTATAAGCAACGCCGGAAGTCACCGGTCTCTCCGCCCTGCCACCGATGCTCCTCGTCGTTCCTTTCGCGTTCGTTGTTACCGCCTCTCTCTGACGCCCTTCATCCAATGCCCCCGCGATGCCCCACGCGCTAACGCGCCCGGGGGGTATTTTGTCACCACTGTAATTATATTTCTCCCTTTGGCCGATTCCCCGGTCGTCCGCGTTACGAAAATATCAATACTATCGTTATAGCCAACAAAACGACTCGAGCCACAGTCGTAGGAAGTGACGTCATGCGCGCAGAGAATGAATCAGTCGAGGGATCGCGTATATAAAATGTTTATTTTAAAACCTTTTGCTGACTCTGTATCTAAAACGCGACATAGATTTCCTTCTCGCACCGTTTCACGAGTTTTTGTTATTAATTAAGTTTAATGGAGGTGACTATTTTTGTAGTATTTTCTTATTAAAGCCAAAACTTGGTGCGATATTACTAACAACATACTTCATATGCAAGGTACACAAAAGTTATTTGAAGGATTTTGTTTTCCTGCGGAAAAATGGTAACCCCTCGACCTTTTTGATTCACTGCACGTCGCGGGAGGAAAATATCGATAAACTTTTCGGACTGGGAACGTGCCACAATGGGGAACGCGTGAACGTGTAACGGTAGCGTGTTTGCTTAACGCAGAATTCATTGAACTGTAAATACAGATAAAGGCTGCGACTGCGGTGAATAAAGTTACATCGTTACCGCAATAACGCCGCACTGCGTAAAAGCAGTATTCTAAAGTTATGTATTGTCGCCGTCCGATCTCCTTAATTGAATTTTTCATGCAAAGTTCTAGATATATATACACTACTGTATCATAACTGAATTGCATAACGTATCGTGACAGAATAGTGCTGAGGTTTGTAATAAACGTTTTTGACGGAATAGTAAATCGTTTTTCGTTTGTAGAAAATATTTTGAATACCTTACGCTTAAAGAGCAAACTAAGCGATATCGGTTTCAGATGCGATTTTCAATAAAATGTTAAATCACTTACATTCTCCACAGTAGGACTCGGCAGCATCCATTGCACCGCGGAGGTTGCAGCTGCAGCGCTCGCAGGACGTCTCTTGTTGACGAAATCGACCGGTAGACTGTAATCGTCGCACAACGACACCTGCAAGCACAAGCGGGAGAAAATGATATACATCGTGTACCCTCTATTACCATTTCCCATTAACCACTCCATCCAATGAGAATTTTCTCCCGAGAACTTTCATCGCTCTTCGTATCTCTACTTAATAGAGTTTCAAAGTTGTAGGAGATGACTTTCATCAAATGACGCGAACTCCGATAACTGAAAAACTTCGCCCACGCTCTTTAAATCTGCATCACAGCCTCGTGCGCGAGAGCTGATTTTTAATCTTCTATCAGTCGCGTAAAGAATACTAATCTTCACGTAATTGATAATGTAACACAATAATAATTTATATTATGTTATCATATTATGTTATATTTTTGTAACACTCCCCTCAAAGAATAGAATCAATTTATTCTGATTTTAATCCTTGAAATAACTAAAGCAAGCCGATCGTTCCCTTCGCTAATTAGCCTCGACGCTATCGAAGCACGCACCTTCTCTGTTGTAGGGAGAAAAAATACGCACAATGTTGCTGAAAAAGTGAGGAACGATGGCATGAAAATCCGCGGGAAAGCATTCGACATCGAACGGCAGAGGATTTCTGCCACTCGACAAATCGCAGGGTAAGCACCCCAAACCTTCTCCGCATTCTCCAAATCCCCGTTGACGCTGACTGGACCAGCTCATCAGCGATATTTACTGTCTGTCGGAGAATCGATCTATCGATGCGTGAACGCCTCGTCCCACCTGGGTGCGCGCGAGAACCGAGAGCGCGGCCACGGCCTACGTCTATGCATGCATATAAATCGAGACAATCGCGGATCCCCGGGGGCGGCTTATCGCGTCGGAGACCCGGGAGGGGTGGTGGCAGAGTCCACGGGGATGCTCGGCCTGCGAAGGGAGTTTTGCGCGGGGACTCTGCATGCAAATGGTTTGCGTTTATTGTGAGAAGAGAGCGCCGTATGAATATGTGAAGTGGAAAACGAAACAAAGAGAGAGAGAACGAGAGATGAACGGTCGAAGGACAACGAAGGGAATGGAACGAGGAATGATGGGCTCGCGGAAAAGCGGAAATAGCCACGGAGATATCGAGAAATGACGCAACTAGCACTTAACGGCGGAGGGAGCAGTGTGGGGTAGAAAAATCGATTCGCAGAGAGCTGTACTAAAGTACGCAAGCTGAAGCAATCGAGAAGTTACTTTACACGTTTTCTGGTTGTACAAAAATTATACAGATTTTAACGCGCGTAACTTTTCTGAGAAATTCTCCGTGTTATAAAACTGCTTGACTTAATTTTCAGCACTATTTGTAGTCAACAGTAGTGCTGGAACGTGTATGGTCGGACAACGCAATCGCCGGCAGGCAACCTAAAGTAATATAGTATTCGTAGACTATCATTCGTTTACTGTTGCTAAGTCATGTAATTGAACCTAAGCGGTATAGTTTTACATACTTCACCGGCTTCAGGGCGAGCACCTACCCCTAGCTGAACTGCATTCGCTGGCACCTTTGAGGAAGCCAAGCACGAACTAGGCCGGCTCGATAGAGTAAATTCGAGAAAATCCGAGACAATCGCCAATGAGAATCCCCGTAACTGAGAATCATGTTTCACGTTGTCTTAAACATTATCCGTTTATCGATAATATTGCTGGCTCGAGTATTTCCACATTGTGATATATTTAGTCTGGACGCGGCGAGCGGCATGTGAATGTTGACTTTACAGCGGGAAGAACTTTTTAACTCCGCGTAATTTTTATTCCATCAAATCTCTGAGTTATTCATGAAATATTAAAATATGATGCGTGGCTCGTACGCACACCTAGCCAATGCGGTCGTAAATCACAGCGCGCGTAATCCTTAAAGTTTGTCGAAATAGATATTTTTACTGGTGATCCCTGGGTGTCGCCCAAAATGATTTGTTTTCCCATAAATCTTCAACGCCGCGTAAGTTTTCCGAGCACTTGCTATTGAGTGAGGCCGAAAGCTCTCTCTCCGTGGACTGACATTTATAAAGTATCTATTTACGTTTTCTGTTTACCGTGTTTCTAAAGAAACGCTTCGCTATCGTTACCGCTACCGCGTCTGATGTATCGTTGTACGAAAGCGAGCGCAAGTTTGCGTTCTCCCGCGGCGGTATTTCGCGTGGCCGAGATTAAGCCGGAATATTTAGCAAATGTTTCGCATAAATCAAAGCAGCGCAATATGTTCGGAGTTCGAAGCGAGGCTATGTAAATTCATGGTAATACCGCTGGCCACCCTGCAGAGAGGAGTTTCGATTCGCGAAGAGTCGAGAGGGGGGTAAAGAGCGCATTGGGGGACGGACAAGGGGGGACCGAGCGCGACAGCGTGAGTTGGAGGGCCAGGAAGGAACAGGGAAAGTCCAAAAGGAGGGACAGAGAGAAAGACAGAAAGTGAAAGATGCGGAGAGAAAGGAGAGAGAGCGAGAGCGAGAGAAAGGAGCGATGAGCGCGTATTTCATGAACCCCTAAAGCAGCCCTGAGCATTGCGGCGACCGCCACAATCCCATTCATTCTCTTTATGGGCTCCCAAGTATTCGGGAGCGAGCTTGAATAAATCGGAAATTTGCCCCGCGGGGAGCGAGTCGGCCCTCCTCGCGATTTGCCTTTCGGCCTGGTCATTCCCGAACACTGCGTTTCGTTTTTTCGCACGCAAAGCGCGTGATGCACGACTATGATCGTTAATCCTGAGTTGTTTAGCATAGAAAATTGCGGCCAGATAATCTGAACTGATAATAAGAAACTTGATACGGTTATATATGAGAAGTAATTGGCGCATTGCTGCACAATGATAGGTCTTTCAATAAGAACAATAATTTATAAGTTTCTCGTGATACGTCCTAGTGGAATAATCTGATTAATATTCTCGCATATTATGGGCGAATGCTTTCGCTTGGTAATGGTATCCGGGAGAACTATCGTAATAGAAAGCGATATTAACGATTATGCTCCGAACTCGAGCTATGAACGGAATGTTTATTCTACAGAACTTCTCCTTATGCAGTTTGTAACGTACATATCTATGCCAAACTAGTCTAACTGCCTAACTGACCGTGTTAATTCATTTTATTAATTGCTTTGCATTCTCGGTAAAGAGAAGGAATTTCGTGGTTGCGTAATCACATTAATCTTATTAAAAAGACATTATACAAAAGATATCTCTTTTGCAAGGCAATGTTTTTTATTCTAGCTTGTTCACAGAATTTATAAAATATAATAAAAATGTAAATCTTACTATGTAAAATTATTGAAATAATGTATACGATTTTAATATTCGCGACACACTGCGCACGATTGTATTGGAAGAACCGCTAAATCAGCACAGTGTAATGGGTAAATTGTGCAAACAGATCGATCACAATGACATAATTAAATCTAACTGGGAAGGGTTACGACTTGAATAGCTAAGGGTTCTGTTGTTGATACCTCTGCAGAATCTCTAAACGCTTGTCATCAAATTGTACGCGTAACATTTCGTAAGTAAATTTGCGTTGCGGCTAGCAAACGCTCACATTGTTTCCTTTCAACGTTTCCTGAATAAAAAAAAGAAAGGCAATTGTATATATAATCGTGAATTCGCAATTTATGTTATCAATACTTGTCCTCGCCATTCTCTCAACTTAACTGTAGCCATTCTCTTGAACGTGTTTTCGCCAAGTATAGAGTAGGCCGCCACTTTCTTCACCGACCTAGACAATGAGTCAGACCATAAAGAACGCCATAAAGGGAGCTAAAGATCGATGAACAGGGTTAACCATGATTGACGACGAGCGAAAGTGCACACGCAGTCTTCGGGGACTCGCTCTTCTCATTTTCCACGTTACGGCAATCTGAGTCGATCTAACGCTACGAGATAAACACGTTAAAGTTTCGCGAACTGCTCTCCGGAACGCAAGAGTGAAGTCACCCGGGGCTATCCGACGTCCTTTCCGATAGCAACACGTGACGACTCGACATCTTCATTACGTATTTCCCATATGTACTCATCGCTCTTCCTTTGGATATCATTTCTTCTAGTCTACGTTCGTTACGTTACCCCTGGCACCCGGGGGCAACCTGGGCGATGACAAGAAGAAAAATCCTTCGATATCTTCGTGCAGGCGATGAAGCGCGAAAATCCTGAACTTTGAAATATATAGTATAGGTGAGTGCGAATCGAGCACGGTGAAAAAAGATCTGTATAAAAAAGTCCATCAACCTTGGAATTTATCATCGAGATCTCTTCCTATCATTTTTATTGTGGCGAAAGATTTCCTTGAAGAATAGAAATGTAGGTTTGTTGCGATTGATGATCGCAGAGAAGAACTTGCGTGATACGTGATACGCCATTATACTAAACCAGGATAAACGTATCTTCGTTAAGAGTTAAGAATTCTCAAATTTCTACGACATTTAATATCGATGCAGTATCAATTCAACATTGTCGTTTGAAGGAACAAAGACATAAGGACACTATAATTTCGCAATTTAAGGGTCACAACCACAGCATCTGGGAGTCCTTTCGTCTTCATTTAAGGGACTCGCGTGTCCCTCGACTGATGTGCTTTAGACACCCCGATCGAACCGAAACGCCTACCGGAGGACTGCGTTCCTTTTTGTCGTATCTGCAGCTCTTTGTAGGGTCACGGAGGGTCCGGCAGGTTGCTCAAAGAGAGCGTAACTTGCTCAAAGTCGAACGAGGAACTCTGCCATTATAGAAATCGAGTACTAGCAATAAGACAGACTAAGGGTCGACCCAACAGTCCCTAATCATCCGCCTTTCTTAGGCTCGCTTCGTCTTTCTTGCCCTCCTGCATTTCCTTTTCGTCCCTCTATCGCGGACAGCTAACAAAATCTCTTTAACCGTAATTTCTGCAAGGAAATATTTTAATACAAAAATTAAAATAATATATGAGAAGTATAAATGTAAAAATAAATATTTTATATTAAAAATAAAAACAAATAGTTTTTATCTATCATTATATTTTGCATATTTTTATTTAGAATCATATATATGTATTTAGAACTGCCTAGTTTAT